ATGGAGGGGTGGTGGTGGGTGAGGGAACATAATGAACATGATGGAGGGGTGGTGGTGGGTGAGGGAGCATAATGAACTACATGATGGAGGGTGGTGGTGGGTGAGGGAACATAATGAACATGATGGAGGGGTGGTGGTGGGTGAGGGAGCATAATGAACTACATGATGGAGGGGTGGTGATGGGTGAGGGAGCATAATGAACTACATGATGGAGGGGTGGTGGTGGGTGAGGGAGCATAATGAACTACATGATGGAGGGGTGGTGGTGGGTGAGGGAGCATAATGAACTACATGAGAGAGGGGTGGTAGTGGGTGAGGGAGCATAATGAACTACATGAGAAAGGGGAGGTGGTGGGTGAAGGAGCATAATGAACTACATGAGAAAGGGGTGGTGGTGGGTGAGGGAGCATAATGAACTACATGAGAAAGGGGTGGTGGTGGGTAAGGGAGCATAATGAACTACATGAGAAAGGGGTGGTGATGGGTGAGGGAGCATAATGAACTACATGAGAAAGGGGTGGTGGTGGGTGAGGGAGCATAATGAACATGAGAAAGGGGTGGTGGTGGGTGAGGGAGCATAATGAACTACATGAGAAAGCTGTGGTGGTGGGTGAGGGAGCATAATGAACTACACGATGGAGGGGTGGTGGTGGGTGAGGAAGCATAATGAACTACATGAGAAAGGGATGGTGGTGGGTGAGGGAGCATAATGAACTACATGAGAGAGGGGTGTTGGTGGGTGAGGGAGCATAATGAACTACATGAGAAAGGGGTGGTGGTGGGTGAGGGAGCATAATGAACTACATGAGAAAGGGGTGGTGGTGGGTGAGGGAGCATAATGAACTACATGAGAAAGCTGTGGTGGTGGGTGAAGGAGCATAATGAACTACATGAGAAAGCTGTGGTGGTGGGTGAGGGAGCATAATGAACTACATGAGAAAGGGGTGGTGGTGGGTGAGGGAGCATAATGAACTACATGAGAAAGGGGTGGTGGTGGGTGAGGGAGCATAATGAACTACATGAGAGGGGTGGTGGTGGGTGAGGGAGCATAATGAACTACATGAGAAAGTGGTGGTGGTGGGTGAGGGAGCATAATGAACTACATGAGAGAGGGGTGGTGGTGGGTGAGGGAGCATAATGAACTACATGAGAGAGGGTGGTGGTGGGTGAGGGAGCATAATGAACTACATGAGAAAGCTGTGGTGGTGGGTGAGGGAGCATAATGAACTACATGAGAAAGGGGTGGTGGTGGGTGAGGGAGCATAATGAACTACATGAGAAAGGGGTGGTGGTGGGTGAGGGAGCATAATGAACTACATGAGAGAGGGGTGGTGGTGGGTGAGGGAGCATAATGAACTACATGAGAGAGGGGTGGTGGTGGGTGAGGTAGCATAATGAACTACATGAGAAAGCTGTGGTGGTGGGTGAGGGAGCATAATGAACTACATGAGAAAGGGGTGGTGGTGGGTGAGGGAGCATAATGAACTACATGAAAAAGGGGTGGTGGTGGGTGAGGGAGCATAATGAACTACATGAGAAAGGGGTGGTGGTGGGTGAGGGAGCATAATGAACTACATGAGAGAGGGGTGGTGGTGGGTGAGGGAGCATAATGAACTACATGAGAAAGGGGTGGTGGTGGGTGAGGGAGCATAATGAACTACATGAAAAAGGGGTGGTGGTGGGTGAGGGAGCATAATGAACTACATGAGAAAGGGGTGGTGGTGGGTGAGGGAGCATAATGATTATTATTATTATAATCAAGGGGAAGCGCTAAACCCGGAGGATTATACAGCGCCTGGGGGGGATGTGGAAGGCATTCATGCTTAATTCGGGGAACTGGAGCACAGATCCAATTCCCTAAATCAAGAGCCCCTCACCAACATCAAGGAACCTTCCTTGAGGGGGGGGAGCATAATGAACTACATGAGAAAGGGGTGGTGGTGAGTGAGGGAGCATAATGAACATGAGAAAGCTGTGGTGGTGGGTGAGGGAGCATAATGAACTACATGCGAAAGGGGTGGTGGTGGGTGAGGGAGCATAATGAACTACATGAGAAAGCTGTGGTGGTGGGTGAGGGAGCATAATGAACTACATGAGGGAGGGGTGGTGGTGGTGGTGGTGGGAATCATCACATACAGTTTTAATAATAAGTAAATAAGTTATTCAGGTACACAAATACAGTTACATATGCGTAGAGAACCGAGGATAACCTAAATAAGTCAGACAGTCACTAATTTCCATTGGGGTCCTAATAAGTAAGACAAGGCTCATAAAGCCAGAGAGCAGTAGTGCAAGTGGCAGGAGCTTGTGAGGCGAGGCAGGAGCCAAGACTCGACCTACGCTAACATAAATTAGTGAGTACACACACACACACACACACACACGCGCGCGCGCGCGCGCGCGCACATACACACTGCTGTTATAAATATTCCTTGAAGTTTCCCCATCGTTGTAACCTTGACCACGACCTCGGCAGGATGGGCGTGTCTGCCAGGTCCTGACGTCACCTGCCGGTCAGCTGGCACAACATCTAGCTCTCAAAACACCACCTGGTATCCAAGGTACCATCTGGCACTAAATGAACAATGTGGCCACCACCACCACTCACCCACCTGCACCCAATCATCACACACACAAGGGTACGTACCCACAGGCACCCGTAAACACACACACGCGCGCGCACGCACACACACACACACACACACACACACAGACAGGATTTAATCAGGATTTTCCTAATGTAACCGACATGGATTCAAGACTAGAAATCCTGTCTCTAGAGCAGTGGTTCCCAAACTGGGGGTAAATTACCCCCTGGGGGTAATTTAACCATTTTTGGGGGGTAATGGAGGGGTGACAGAAAAAAAAGTTATGAATTCTGAAAATCAAGAAAACAATGCGGTACCCGGTATGAGGATTATTGTTAACTTTGTCTTAGTATATAAAGTTGTAAAGTAAACCTATTATAAGTAAGTAATAAAGTTAAACCAAATAACAATAAACATCAAAAACTAATATACAGTATTAGAAAAGAAGAAATATATAGCTAAGTGTGTGGAAACCCAAAAGTATTTTGACAAGTATGCTTCAGGACAAAAGTCACTCAGTAGCCCAGATCGACCTGTCCAGTACGCGTCACTCACTTCCTGAGGCTGCCTCTATTTCACACTGTCAGTTTATCTGTGAGCATCAGCCGAGGTAGACATAAGCTGGTATGTATGTGTACTGCCCTGTGCACTATATAGTTAGTATTTACCCACTGTTACTGTGAATTTGTAGCTATTATTAATTTTATATATAATGTATGTGTGGTTCTTACGTTTTCAATGGTTTTGCTAGGATTAGCAGAGTATGCGAGGCTGTATACGTTCACGTTTAGCCATATATATCAATAATAACAACATTTTGTGAAAGGGGTAACATGCTTTATGTGGCATGTTAAATTGGGTAACAAGCTGAAAAAGTTTGGGAACCACTGCTCTAGAGGTTCATAAGACATACACAGCTCAAGCAGGGACGTCAGGGCAGGATGGACTGCATTTTCCCTTACTGCACAAAACGCTTTTGATAAGATATGATCCGTACTTCAGTAGAGATTATTCCACGAACTAGAAGAAGAAGAGACAGTAAAGTATCAGAAAGACGCAAAAATAAAGAGGAACGGAGAAGGAAGAGGTTGCTGAACCATCTTTTACCGAGAGAAACTTTGTGAAGCTTTATCAAGTCATGACTTGATAAAACTCTACACGGAGCGAAACGCTGCCCCAGTAAAAGCTGGTTATGCAGCCTGTCTCTACTAATGTCGGAAGAACATCTGTATCCAGAGAGTAAAGGTGAGGTAGGAGGTGTCTGAGTGTGCAACAAGTTGCAGTATGTCATGAATGGGAGTGCATACCTAGTGGGGATTCCTCAGGTATCGCTACTAGCGCCACTGCTGTTCTTAATTTGTATTAACAATTTCCCAGAGGTGATTAAGTCCTGTCCCACTTTGTTGATGATGTAACACTGACAAGGTAGTGCCAGGCTCCGTGGAGACCTGGGGAAGCTATGGAAGAGGAAAAGTGACTATTGGAATTCAACCTGAATAAATTAGGGATCATGAAAATAGGATGAGGTAGTAAGGCTATATACAAGGTAAATGACGCCTAGCTATGGAGCACGCAGCCCCATGGTGGAGCCCACACCTGATCAAACACTGAAAGAAATCAGATATAGTCCAAAAGTTAGCTACAAAACTTGTCATAACGCTGAGAGCACCGAAATATGAGGAAACTAATCGAACTGACCCTGGTGACCTTAGAAGAAAGACATGGGGGGGGGGACATGATTACCATGACTACAATTCTATGAGGAACTAACAAGGTGTAAAGATACAGATTATTCGAAAAGAGGAAACCAGGTTCAAGAACATATGTGGAAACTAAAGTACCAGGTAAGCCTAGGTAAGCTCTAGAGAGTATTAAGCATCAGGGAGGTACAGAACCGAAATAAACTCAGGTAGATGATGGAGGGGAAACTTCATACACAACTTCAAGAACAGGAACAATAGAAGCCGTGAAGTGTTGGGGAAGAGGGAGACACTTTGTTGTAAGAGTAAAAACATTGAGGAAGAGGTAGAGGCGTTGCAGAAGTGCTGTGAAGGTAAAGGTGATGAGGAATGAACAGAGGTCTTGAGAAAAGTGTTAAAAGGAAGAAAAATATGTTGGGCAAGGAATAAAAGTGATGATGAATATATATTAGTAAGGAAGAGAAGTCTTGGGTATAATGACAGTTAATAAGGAAGCTGAGAAGAGAAGAGGAGTGAACGAGAGGAGCACTCATCCAGAGCATCGCGGGGGCGGGGGTTGAGAACTATCACCAGCAGCTTCCGGTGCTGGTGAGAGTCTCATCAGCTGTTCTTGATCACGTGACTCATCTCAGTGTTTACCCGCTGACGCACACATGAACACAGCTCATGTACACCCCATCAACCCTTCCTCTGTATGATTATGGCCAAATGTATACACATTATCTTAAGGAGAGATTATTAAAACATAAGAGAATTCTATGCCAGTAGAGATTGAGGACAATTGGTACTGGAACACCAATGAAGTTAGGTGAAATCCCACTATTAACGTTGAAGGAGATATAATCCACTAACAAAAATATAATACATCGTTTGAGGCAGGAAAGATAGTTGGGCTATATCCGATGTTTTTAGCGACTGCGAGATGACACCCATGTCTCGACTCTTTCTCCATAAACATTCTTAAGGCACATGAAAGGGGAAAAGAAACATTTTGGACATCTCTCAATTTCATTACTTGTTTTTAGCTCCGTGTCCCCTAGATCCTGTATGAATAATTTAACTTATGTTTAATATTTTCTCCTTCCCTAGGCAGTGCTTTCTTCCGCATTTCAGATAGTCTAGCCCCCCTTGAGAAGCTCAGTGATTCTTCGTCTTCGCCTGTAGAGGGACCGTCTCTCTCAAGTTTACATCTTCTCTTCTTTTTCCTTAGGGGAATAGGCTTTGAGCATACTTCAGATATGTCAACGACATGCCTAAAAACAAGTTGATTCCCATATGTTAAAGCTGATGGTTTGTGACAATGCAGGAGGACTGGTTTCAGCAATGGTTCAATATTATTTTCATGGAAGGGGCACTAAACATAGAGGGGTCATACAGAAGCTGGGGAATGAGAAGCAATCAAGATTGATTCAAGGTAGTGGAGGGTAGCTCCAGTCCCTTGGATCAGGAGGCTTTCACACGCATCAAGGCACCCATTGTATTGGGAGGGGGTGGGGGGAAGAAAATCTGTGACAGCTGTTCCATGGGAGGCAAGAATGAGAGGAGGGGGTAAATAGTCGATAGAGAGGGTGGAGTGTGGTGGTGAAGGAGTGTGGTGGTGAAGGAGAGTGTGGTGGTGAAGGAGTGTGGTGGTGAAGGAGTGTGTGGTGGTGAAGGAGTGTGTGGTGGTGAAGGAGAGTGTGGTGGTGAAGGAGTGTGTGGTGGTGAAGGAGTGTGTGGTGGTGAAGGAGTGTGTGGTGGTGAAGGAGTGTGGTGGTGAAGGAGAGTGTTGTGGCGAAGGAGTGTGTGGTGGTGAAGGAGTGTGGTGGTGAAGGAGTGTGGTGGTGAAGGAGTGTGGTGAAGGAGAGTTGGTGAAGGAGAGTGTGATGAAGGAAAGTGTGGTGGTGAAGGAGAGTGTGGTGGTGAAGGAGTGTGTGGTGGTGAAGGAGTGTGTGGTGAAGGAGAGTGTTGTGAAGGAGTGTTTGTGGTGAAGGAGAACGTTGTGGTGAAGGAAAGTGTGGTGGTGAAGGAGAGTGTGGTGGTGTAGGGAAGTGTGTTGGTGAAGGAAAGTGTGGTGAAGGAGTGTGTGGTACTGGAGGGAGTGTGATGGTAACGGGAGGGTAGCAGTGGAGGGGAGGGGGGTGGAGGGGGGCTATTGAGAGTGGAGGGTGTGTACGGGTGGAGGCAGACAATGGGAGCTCCAGTAAGGTTAATAATCAATACCTAACTTAGTGAGGTGTCGACCTAACCTCATGATGTCTGTGTTGTTGCTGCTCCATTTGCTGCTCCTGTTGCTGCTCCTGTTGCTGCTCCTGTTGCTGCTACCGTTGCTGATGACACTATTTTTACTGCTACTGCTGCTGCTGTTAAATTAAAGTATACAATCAATATCTGCTGTTTTAACTTTTAAGGTTAAATAATAAGATATTACAAAGATACTAATGGAAAATAAACACTTGGACTTTTCTAGGGTTATCCTAGGTAATCTACACATATGCTGCTATGTATAAGTTATGTACTATACTTATGTGTACCTGTATATGAATGGAATATGACAGGAAAACACAGCTCTTGTCCTCACTGCGTAAATGTCATATGGAATAAGATAGCACACTGCGGATGTATAATATTTTGTTACCATCATATGGAATAAGATAGCACACTGCGGATATATCCAGTTTTGTTCAATACAAAAAAAAAAAAATACTTCCGCAGCTCCATTAATTCACTCTTTCCTTCCTTCCCACGTTGACTATTTACGTCACACATTATCTCCCAGCTTCCTTACTGTTTTTGTCTATACATAAAAAAAAAGATGAGAGTTTGTCAACGGTTTTTCCACGTCGCATCAGGCCGTTGAAGCTTTGTATGGGGGGATATAGAGGGATGTCTGGCTGGTGCGTCTCTCCTGTGCTCAGGGAACGGAGGGTCGAGCCCTCTACCCACATGCGCTGTATAATCCTGCGGGTTTAGCGCTCCCATTATAATAATAATCTACTGATGAAAGGCTCGTTATAACGAGGTTTCTGCATCAACTAATAATAATAATCGTAATAATAATACTTACTCTTATTGTTTTAAACTTCAACACGCCACCTATCATGCAACTAGAGTAAAAGTCAGGCTGACCAGGTCAAGGTTAACCTACGGATCACTTGCAAGATGAAATTGCAGGAGAGGAGACTCACTTTTTGCATCATTAATGTTGCACCACTGATGGATGATCACATAGCTTGGCTAGACAGACTAGGCAGCAAGATTAGCAGAGAACAGCGCCTCCACCTCACTCTTTGAGCTCAATGACCCACACGGGTTTAGCGTTGGCAACACGCTGTGGTAAACCTCTTCGAGGTGAAATATAAGTTGCAAACTTTATTTGCAATAAATTAATTTAAAGAACAAAAAGGAACTAAACCTCTCTACTTTCTACTATAATTACTATTTCTACTACTAGTTTTTTCGCTATTTACCACTACCTCCTTTCCCTCCACTCTTTGTCCCGTCCCTCTCTCCCTCGTCCATATATACTGGCTCCCTCTCTTTTGTGTTATCATCATATATACTTCTAATGGTTATAATCATAATCAAGATTTTTAAAGAAGTGGATAGGTAAGCCAGTGGAAGGCCTCGGTCAGATGACCAAAAACTCCAGCTGTGGGTCATCATATGTTTTAGACCCGTGTCAGGGAACACTTGTCCTGTTTCCTGAGAAACATTATACCTACTTACCATCTTTTGTGTTAGTGTGACTTTGTTAATGGTCCAAGTCAGGCCGAAACGTCATCGTAAGGTTATCTCTCCTGTGCGGGTTATTTATGAATTAATTTAAAATATGTATCTGTTCTTTGTATTACAGTGTAAATAAGTAACATTTATTTTATGGGGTTCTCGTAGGTTAAGTGTACATAAAGTACTTCTTTGTCCGTAACATCTTTTATGATTCTCTACCCATAACATCTGCTATGTACAAAAATTCAAAGACAAATTTACTCTTGGAAAGACACTTATGTACCGTTCGCCACCTGTGGCGCAACATTTCCTCTAATAAATGTCCTGAACTGTACATAAAGTGTCTTTTTCAACATCTTGTCGGTATCACCAAACCATTTTTCAAAAACTTACTTGTTACTAAGCAAGCGTATGATAATGATTTTCCTTGTGATGTGTATAAGACAATATGTTAATAACGAACTGTATTACCTTTAAAATTTCTAGTATACTGCAAATTTGATTACACGGGTAAATCGGGATTCCCCTGATCAAAATCAATAATACGTATATATAAACTCTGCCGCTGTCAGTACAGACACATACGCATATTCCTTAGGGTTGAACTACACACAAATATACATTCCAATATGGTTTGGTGAAAGCAAGTGGGCGCTATATAAGGTATGAGGTTCAGGCGAAACGCTTAGTGACTGATTAATCATTAAAGTGGGTAGAAATACCAGGGCTTGAATATTCCACAAGCTGTACAAGCCGCTGGAATACAGCTCTCACTCCTTGATGGTAACAGTAATGCTGTCGCGAAAATCTATCGATAGGTAACATTGAAGTTATACTTATCAAAATCTTTGCAATCGTACTAAGAAGTAAAGTTAATACAGTCACTGAATCACAAAATTTACACAACCCAAGACAACGGATTTAGAGCCGAATGCTCCTGCCTCAAGCAACTGCTGGACTGCTACATGATTCTGGTTGTAATGGAATTCAAATAAAATGCAGCCTTTGAAAAAGACTCTGATAAGGGAAATTATCAATAAACTACCTGGAGTCTACCCGGAGGGAATTCCGGGGATCAACGTCCCCGCGGCCCGGTCCACGACCAGGCCTCCCGGTGGATCAGGGCCTGATCAACGAGGCTGTTACTGCTGGCCGCACGTAATCCAACGTACGAACCACAGCCCGGCTGATCCGGCACCGTCTTTAGGTATCTGTCCAGCTCCCTCTTGAAGACAACCAGGGGTCTTCCCGTAATGCCCCTTATTGCTGGTGGGAGGCTGTTGAACAGTCTTGGGCCCCGGACACTTGTGTTTTCTCTTAGTGTACCAGTGACGCCCCTACTTTTCACTGGGGGTATGTTGCATCGCCTGCCAAGTCTTTTGCTTTCGTATGGAGTGATTGCTGTGTGCATATTAGGGACCAGTCCCTCCAGAATCTTCCAGGTGTAGATTATGATATATCTCTCTCGCCTACGCTCTAGTGAGTACAAGTCAAGTGCTTCCAGGCGCTCCCAGTAGTTAAGGTGTTTGATGGAACTTATACGTGCAGTAAAGGTTCTCTGTACATTCTCTAGCTCTGCAATTTCACCTGCCTTGAATGGAGATGTTAATGTACAGCAGTATTCCAGCCTAGAAAGAATAAGTGATTTAAAAAGGATCATCATTGGCTTAGCATCTCTTGTCTTGAATGTTCTACTGTCATTTAAGAAGGAACTTTATATGGGCCTTCAGGCATGCGTGATCAGTTAGGCTGTGTGATGCCTCAGCCAGACTACGTGCTGGAAGCACAGTGTCAGTAAGTGCGGGCCGCGGGGAGGGGGGCGATGATCCCTGGAGGTATCTACAAGTTGCCACCGCCCCTCCCCTTCCTCACCATCACCACTTTCACAGTCCCCCTCCTCTCTCTCCCATCCCCCCGCCAACACCATCGTAGGTTCTTTACACATGCTGTTATGTATGATAATTTATGTAACTATTTGTGTATACAGGAATAAATTTACTTAACCACTGTCACCTTCATAAGAAACAGAGTACAGATTTACGAATATGTAAACCCTAGATTTTGCTTTATTATTATTATTATTATTATTATTATTATTATTATTATTATTATTATTATTATTATTATTATTTTCATTTACAAGCGCTAAACCCGGAAGGGTCATACAACAACTGAGGAATGGAAGGTAATCTGCTTTGATTCAAAGACGAAAGTAGCCCTATTTTCTTGGACGAAAAGCCCTTTACCAGCATCAAGGCTCTCCTACCCCCCCCCCCGCACCCTTGAAGTGAAGAAGACTTACAAAAATTAAACTAAACTAAATTACTATTGGAAATCAACCCTAACAACTGTAAGATAATAAAACAACGATGAGGGGAGAGGCCAGTTACAACGCTGGTTCAAACAAGTCGCCTAATCCTCCCAACCAGATAGCTAAGTAACCCCCCCTCCACCTCCCCAATACCGAAACTGGCGCCGCCTGGTCCTAGCCTAGCCTAGAGGATGCAGGAAGTTTATTTAGGTACAGGTGCACATACATACAATTATACAAATTTTCATACATAGTGACATATGCAGAATAATCACTTTGAAAAATTAGTGAAATTCAAAGTTCCTTGATAATGTGAGAAATCACGAAAGTGCTTGGAATTTCACTATTCTTTTTCACTAGTTATTCTGCATATTGTGATATCACCTGTTTACCGTGATCTTATTGCATAGTAACATGTGTAAATTACCTAGGGTAACCCAAAACAATCAAAGTGACTTATTTCCACTGGGATCTTTGCAGCACCATCTTCGAACACACCTCACATGAAGAAACTGGAGACATTAGACTGGTCCTGGAGGTGCAGGGTATATGATCTGAAAACAGATAGTATAACACTAAAGAGGCAAAAATCTAGAGGAGACATGATCACATCGTTCAAGATACTCACCATCGATAAATATGGAAGCTGCACAGCTAACGTACAACTGAGACGTAATAAAAAATATTTCCACAGGATGGTAGTGATAGGATTGAATAAAGTGAGAGCGGAGGTGATGGATGCTGGCATCCTGCACAGCTTTAATAATATCTGGAATAAAACTTTAGGAATAAGAAACCATCAGCATCGGTCAAGACGGGACCAGAGGCTAGAGTTCAACTCCACAGTCACCAGGTAAACACTCCCCGAGAAAGATTAAAAAAGTCAATAGGCAGAAATAATTCACAACTAACTTGTAATTAGGTGAGGGACGTCATGACAACGTTTCGGTCCGTCTAGGACCACTGTGATTTGGCAACATTTCGAAACATCGCCATACGTTTCCTTTGTGAGGGTTATATGTGAACACTCTTCATCCCTCCTCCCAGACACAATTTGGCGATTCGCAGAAGCAATTCAACACATAATTATTGTTGTAGGAAAAGATTCAAGGTGAATGGTTGACCCAGAGGGAGTTGGACGGATACCTCAAGTCAGTACCGGATCAGCCGGGCTGTGGTTCATACGTTGGACTACGTGCTGCCAGCAGTAACAGCCTGGTTGATTAGGCCTTAATCCACCGGGAGACCTGGTCATGGACCGGGCCGCGGGAGCGTTGACCCCCGGACTACCCTCCAGGTAGCAGTAGTCTTGTGTAGGTCGGCGGCAGCCCTAGCCAATTTATGGAGGCAAACAACCCCAGCGAACTTGTGGCGGTAAACAGCTCCTAGCAAACTTGTGGCGATGAATAGCCCCTGTGAACTTGTAGCCGTGAACAGCCCCACCGAACTTACGGCGGTGAACAGCCCCAGCGAACTTGTGGTGGCGAACAGTCCCAGCGAACTTGTGGCGGTGAACATCCTCAGTTAACTTATGGCGGTGAAAAGTCCCAGCGAACTTGTGGCGGTGAACAGCCCCAGTTAACTTATGGCGGTGAACAGCGCCAGCGAACGCGTGCTGACCGCGTCATCATGACTCAATGCACGTACAAGTCACGAACTCTCACAAGCCCACACAGTTTCCGCCTGCGTTGTAAATTTTGTATTCACAATGAGAAAAGAAAGAGAGAGAGAGAGAGAGAGAGAGAGAGAGAGAGAGAGAGAGAGAGAGAGAGAGAGAGAGAGAGAGAGAGAGAGGGGGGGGGGAGAGAATTTTATAATGATTCTATACAGCTGGTAAGACAGATTACTCTCTAATATCTCTCATTAACTCTTATTAATAATAAGAGCTCCAGGGAAGAGAACTGGCTCTCAGAGGCCCTAAAACAGACTACACATTATCATCTCACAACAGTGGTATTATTATTATTTTTATTATTTTGCACTACCAAAATGTATGCATATTGTCTTTAAATTTAATTATTATTATTATTATTGGAGTCGCTAAACATGTAATGGTCATATGAACGGTTTGATCCAAGAAAGATATGGCATCTCCATTTCCTTGGATGAAGAGCCTTTTACTAACATAGAGGCATCCCCCCCCCCCATCCCGCTCTACTGGGAAGGGGCAGAAAGCTGCCTGCTGGTTGGGTCTATATTATGCAGTTTTCTGCATTAATGTGAAGTTTATAAGGTGTTTCTGGTGGAAAAAATATGTTCCATAATTTTATAAGTAATGTCATCAATTTGTGGGAGCTTTTAAGGAACGATGTCACACCGATACAGTAGTAACACTGCTATAATAGTCACACTGGTACAATATTCACACCGCTACAATAGTCACACCGCTACAATAGTCACACCGCTACAATAGTCACACCGCTACAATAGTCACACCGCTACAATAGTCACACTGCTACAATAGTCACACTGCTACAATAATCACACTGCTACAATATTCACACCGCTACAATATTCACACCGCTACAATAGTCACACTGCTACAATAGTCACACTGGTACAATATTCACACCGCTACAATATTCACACCGCTACAATAGTCACACCGCTACAATATTCACACCGCTACAATAGTCACACCGCTACAATAGTCACACCGCTACAATAGTCACACTGCTACAATAGTCACACTGCTACAATAATCACACTGCTACAATATTCACACCGCTACAATATTCACACCGCTACAATAGTCACACTGCTACAATAGTCACATTGCTACAATAGTCACACCGCTACAATATTCACACTGCTACAATATTCACACCGCTACAATATTCACACCGCTACAATAGTCACACTGCTACAATATTCACACCGCTACAATAGTCCCACTGCTACAATAGTCACACTGCTACAATAATCCCACTGCTACAATAGTCACACTGCTACAATAGTCACACTGCTACAATAGTCCCACTGCTACAATAGTCACACTGCTACAATAGTCCCACTGCTACAATAGTCACACCGCTACAATAGTCCCACTGCTACAATAGTCACACTGCTACAATAGTCCCCATGCTACAATAGTCACACTGCTACAATAATCCCACTGCTACAATAGTCACACTGCTACAATAGTCCCACTGCTACAATAGTCACACTGCTACAATAGTCCCACTGCTACAATAGTCACACTGCTACAATAGTCCCACTGCTACAATAGTCCCACTGCTACAATAGTCACACCGCTACAATAGTCACACTGCTACAATAGTCCCACTGCTACAATAGTCCCACTGCTACAAGTCCCACTGCTACAATAGTCACACCGCTACAATAGTCACACTGCTACAATAGTCCCACTGCTACAATAGTCCCACTGCTACAATAGTCACACTGCTACAATAGTCCCACTGCTACAATAGTCACGTCGTGACTTCATGCCCTAAAAGGGCCCGCAAACTGATAACATTATTTATAAAATTATGGAGAATTTTTTCACCTACAAACACCTTATTTTATAAACTTCACATTAATGCAGAAACCTGCATAACAGTCTGCTGAAGCATATAACAAAGAAACAACAGCAGAACATTGAGTTTGGTGGTAGCAGAACGGCCAAGCAGCAGCAGGCTGACACCGTGATCCAGTTAGCAGCAACAGCAGACGAGGAAAGGGAACATTTGGAGAAACAGTTATTAATTCTGACAGGAGAAACAGCAGCTGTACCAACAGTGTGCACTAGCAGGCACAGTTCACGGACGGCCAGGCGGCCGCCAGCAACAACAGCTTGGTTGACAAGGCTATTGTTGCCTGGCCCAGGGTCGGGCTGCGGGAGTGAGAACACTCTCGAAACCCATCAGAGGTATATAAACGCTAAATGTATCCAGAACGTCTTCAAGGGAAGGTGTCTTGATGTCAGTTAAGGGCTCCTGATCCAAAGAAGTGGAGCTACCCTCCCTAGGATTAAATCTGATTCCCCCCTTCATTCCCCAGGCACTCTATGATCCCTACGAGTTTAGCTCTCTGTCATGCATGCATGATTATTATAATAATTTGTTCCATCAAAGAATTTTTTTAACAAATGTAGTTTTGGGTCCATTCTCACTTGTGACAACTATCTGTTTTGTTCTAATGCTAAATTGTCATTTTTCCCATAATAGCAAGTACACAAAGTATTCACCAGTCTAACTTGTAAAGCCGGGAATGTACCTGAATCCTAATGTACTTGCATTCTCTCCAGAGGAAGGCAGTCTTGCCCTGAGGCTACAGCAGGGACCCCGTACACCGGAAGCCACAGGAATTCGACGGAGCAGCCTCACGAGAGGTGTATCTAGCACAGATGGAGTTGATGGAGATAAATGTTTGGTCACCGTAGTGCAGTTGATGGCGAGTTTGGGAAGGTCAACACTTGAGTTTCCTGAGCAGCTGTCTAATGAGCAGTAGCACTGTTACCTGTCTCCGACGCCCTTACAGCAAAGGCGTAGCACATCACACCAGAACAAGGAGCAGAATTCTGATTAGCAACCCCGAAGGGTTAACACAGGATAACCCAAGGAAACGTAACTAGGGGCTTTCTATTACAAACCTCGAAGGGTTTATAACGCAGGATATCCTAAGAAAACATAACCAGGGGCTTTTCATTTAGGTTGTAAAACAATTGTATGCTTAATGGAAATATTTTCACTTCCAATGAAGTCGATTAACTCCTAGGTATCTAATGCTAGGTAACAAGAGACACGCCCTGCCTCGCTCAGGGGTCGACCCCAGTAGTTCCGGTTGTGAGCTGAACGTCCTACCACTGTACAGCACTGTTTGTTACCTGACTTGGGTCAACGCTCTGTAGCCACAGTGTCACACTTCTAACCAGAACGAGGTTTTCCAGCCAATTTCGGGTTTAAGAACTTCCCTCCTGCAAGACAAGTTACGTCATGGACAATATGATTTTGAAGGTGAGGGCGAAGCAAGTCAAACAAGCCAACATACAGGAAACTTTAGCTAGAATTAAAGAAAGAAATTAGTCATAGAGTTCTAGAACCAAATGGTCCTTCAACAATTTGCACGAGAAAAATCTCACTGCAACACTCGCCCTACTAGCTTCTTTGGAGCTTAGGTATCTCCTTGCACTTTTCTTTAAGGTGGAGGACGGCCAGCATTACTATATACACATGCGAATTATGAACATATCAACTGATTTAAATCATTCACATAACTAACCACCAGGCACCAATAAACAATCATACTAAATTTAAATATCCTATATTCATTAAAAATCCAATACATTTAGAACACTAAAAAATTCTTGTTCACAAGAAACCTAAGATCCTAGCAGCACCAACAACTAGAGTAGATTGATTAGACACAATAGTGATCAGCCTTACCTAGAAGGACAGCTTGTATGTGCATGGAGGCCACAGCCAGGAGGTACATGCTGGCAATAAGGACAGTGACAACCATCACAACCTGCAAAGCACTGCCAATTGAAAGGTACCTTTTGTAGTTAGACGCATGCATTACAGATCGTGGATTTATGACCGAACTGAACTTCTACATACATTTAATCTTTTATTATAGATTAATGTAAATGAACCTATATTTACGTATAGTTAACGAACAACAATGAAATAACAGGTGGCGTAAGTCTGGCGGTAGACATACTGTAACCCCTCGGAGCTATGGTATTCCCAAGACGCTGTTGCAAGTTGGATGGGCTACCCTCCCAGACATCAGTGGGCAGCAGGAGGAAGATCAGGATCGGCAGTCCATCATCCAGCAACAGAGAGTTCCATAAAGTCTGCGGGAAAGATGGCAACAGCTTTCAGTCTTGTCATTAGGACAGAGCTGTCATCCTCTTCATTAGTGAATCTTTATCTGACCAAGGCAGTGAAGACAAGAGACGGATGAACCCACTGCTTAGATTAGAACATCACCAATGACAGCTAGACGCTTGGCCAATACTGCACCATTACCAAGAAAGGTGAAAGGAGCAGACCTTTACAAGATTAAAATGAAAACAGGAAAACGCTTTCGTTCGTTCTGGACCATTATCAAGTACCAAGTGATTTGATAACAATACTGGAGAGGCCGAAACGTTGTCCAGTTTTTATTTTCAATTTGTGGATTAGTTGTAATGAATTACGATTATTATTCACTAGAATGATGTATTAGATAATAATAAGAAGTGGAGAAGAATCCTGCTTCAATAACCTAATGGAATTTCATGGTTAACAGATAGATCGGATGGTAGCGCAATCAGCTCACACATTGACAGTCCGTGATTCGATCCCTGGTACGGGTGGAAACATTGGGCGTGTTTCTCTAAGACACCTGCTGCCCCTGTTCACCTAATAGGTAGCTGGGTGTTAGCCGACTGGTGTGGGTCGCATCCTGGGACAAAATTAACCTAAGTTGCCCGAAATGCTCTGCATAACCAAGGGTTTTTTGTATAGTATGTCTGATGTCAGCTATGGTCTGTATACGTTGTATCATGTCTCACTAAATCGTAATGACACGATGGCTAACGCGACAGTCTGGAGTTTCGAGACTGATCGTGGGTTCTGTCCTCGCCCGTGGTATGGTTTGTATCATGTACTTGTAGAAATAAGGTAGTAGGTTGGTAGACAGCAACCACCCAGGGAAGTACTACCG